ATGGTGTTGCGTTTAAGATATGACAATCCTACTATCTTGAAGAACATCCTCATTGTTCAATTCTTCCAACTGACATCAGGATCACTGTAACACCCATATTCTATATATGATTACGTATACGTATACAAGTGTCACATTACTTTAAAAATAGTTTACTAATTTTGTAGAGTCTTTAAAATTTTGTGATAAACTAAATTTTCACGTAAATAAACATAATAAATATGTATTCATCAAAATACCTTACAAAATGTTAGGTTAAACTTAATTACATGCCAACAAGTTTACAAAAGGACTACTATTGTCCTATTGTTACTGGTGAGTCAATCTTAGTAGATAATGACTGTTGCTACAGCTTCACTCCTTACTTGATGATTATCTGTTATTACCTACATGTGGAAACATAAACGTTAAGTCATTACTTAATGAGTCATGATATAATAAATAACCTTTAGTATTAATACATATTTTATTCCCCATTTATCCCTATCATTGTCCATGATTCTTTCTTTTCATTTGTAGCCTCCATTTATATTTATAATACATCATTATGCATTTTAATCTATAACATCTTTTCTTTTGATAATGAACCCCAATGCATTTCAGCTATAGTATACTTTATGCTGATAATGTAACCATATACATTACAACCATAGTATACTTTTATGTTGATAATGTACCCATATACATATAAACAGTATACTTTTTTGTTGATAATGCAACCCCATATGCATTTCAACTCTAGCATACTTTTCTGTTGATAATGAACATATATGCATTTTAACTCTGGCATCCTTTCATGCCAATAATGCACCCATATGCATTATTCATTTATGTTGACAATGTACCAATATACATTTCAGATATGGCATCCTTTCATGCCAATAATGCACCCGTATGCATTATTCTTTTACATTCGTTTTAGAGCAGTTCATACTCTAAAACCTCATTCACAATATCAATTCCATATATTCAATAAAACATAATAATTTTGGTAAAATATACATTAACATATAAGTATTACATTTTGAATAATTCTAATCATATTCATCTAAATTGCATATAGTAATTGTACTCACCTTGCTTTCCTCGCTCAAAGTCCAAAAGTAAAGATGTTACTGCAAAACTTGGCACTTGCCTTTTATCTTACTCGACTTAGGAGCTTGATTTCGATCTATCCCACATTCATTAATACATGAGTAATATCAATTGTTAGTTTATTTCCTAACAATTATAGCTTAAACATTCATCAAAATATTGGTTATTAACTTTTCTATAACAATATCAACACAAATTACAATTTTTGGCCCTTCAGTATCGATACCCCTACTATGGTATCAATACTACCCTACTATGGTATCGATACCCCCTACCAGTATCAATACCAAAATTAGATTCGATGTGGCCCAGTATCGATACCGTTACTATAGGTATCGATACCACTATACTATGCTACCGATACCCTTATACGATATTGATACCAAAATTAGGTTCGATGTTACCAGGTATAGATACCCTTACCATTGTATCGATACCACTTCATTAGGCATCGATATTGATTGAATCAATATCGATACTTCTTAGATGATTTAGCCTAATTTTTGCCTATGGTATCAGTACTTTTCTATAGGTACCGATACCCCTGCCCAGATTTTCCAATTTTCAACCCGAAATTTAGCGAACCTTGGCCACTTTTCCTCTCATTTGCCTTTAACAATACTATATATCATCTCTCTACTTAACCCTACTAACCTTCTATCATTTATACATTTAAAACATCTAATATTCCTCAAGAGCATATGATTCTAAGAATTACACTATAATTTTTAACTTGTTATTTCACTCAACCAATGCTTCTAATCTTTCATTTACCTTATTGAAAAGTCAATTTTACCAACAAACATTAGTAAACCTTCATATATTTACATATCATTATAAAACACATTTTCTTAAATCTCTTTTATTTCCTTTATCTCCTTGTTTTAATCCCATCTAAACCTTCATTAAGCTTCCATCATATACAATGATTCACTAACTATAAAAAATTGAAGGAATAAACCATTAGATTGAAAACTTACCTTTGAGCTTATGGAGACTTTGTAACCTATCCCCATTTTTCCCTTTCTTTAATGCCCATCTAAAAAGATATTTTAAATTCTTTATCTTTTAAAAGACCAAAATGCCCTCTTAATACTCCATTATCACAAGTTAGTCTAAATTATTAATCCTAATCCTTCCTATCTTTATTATTTAAAAGAATCAATCCTCATATTTTTGAATTATTTCAATATAGTCCTTAAATTGGTATTTGGGGCATTACAATTCTCCCCCTTAATAAAATTCATCCTTAAATTTTAAAGAAGTGCATGAAGCAAAGAGATGTGAGAACTACTTTTTTATATCCTATTCTCTTTTCCATGTAGCCTCTTCCACTATAAGATTTTACCAAAGCACTTTGACTAACAGAATCCTTTTACTACACAATTCCTAGGTTTCCTAAGCCAAAATTCGTACCAGTTCTTCCTCATAAGTTAAATATGGTCAGATTTCTACATCTTCCGGAGTGATAACATGTGAGGGATCTGATATGTACCTCCTAAGCATCGATAAATGAAAAACATTTTGGATCTTGTCCATATCCGGAGGTGTAGCTAATTGATAAGCCACGGGTCCAATCCTTTTTAATATCTCATACGGTCCAATAAATCTCGGACTCAGCTTTCCTTTTCGGCCAAATCATAATACCTTCTTCCATGGCGATACTTTCAGAAATACTTTGTCTCCCACATAAAATTCTATTTCTTACCTTTTCAAATTCACATATGACTTCTGGAGATCTGAGGATATCTTAAGATTTGCCTGTACAATCTTCACTTTTGCCTCCATATCTTTCATCAAATCCGGCTCGACTAGATCTCGATCTTTTAATTCAAACTAATTTAATGGTGTTCGGCATTTTCTCCCATACAAAGTTTTATACAGGGCCATCTTTATACTTGATTGATAGTTATTATTATACGCAAATCTACTAAAGGCAAACACCATTCCCATGATCCCATAAATTTAATCACATATGCCCTAACCATATCCTCCGATATTGGAATAGCTTGCTCTGAGTGCCCATTTGTTTGGGGATGAAAAGATGTACTAAAATTTAATTGAGTACTCAATGCCTCATGCAAAGATTTCCAAAATCTTGAAGTAAACCTAGGGTCTCGATCGAACACTATCGATATTGGCACTCCATGCAGTCTGACTATCTCTTTTATATACAACTCCACAAGCTTATTCATTGAGTAGTCTACTCGTACCGGAATAAATTTAGTCGTCTTAGTTAATCTGTCCACTGTAACCCATATCGACTCCTTTTTACCTGGTAACAATGGTAACCCCGAAACAAAATCCATTGTTACTCGTTCCTTCTTCCACTCAAGAATAGATATAGGCTGAAGTAATCTGGATGGCACCTGATGTTTAGTTTTCACTTGCTCACATGTTAAACATTTAGCAACAAATTATGTTACTGCTATTTTAATGTCAGGCCACCAATAACGACTCTTCAAGTCTTGATACATCTTATTCCCTTCTGGGTGCATAGTCAAAGGGTTATAATGAGCTTTGTAAAGAATATCTCTCTGTAAAACATCATCATTAGGAATGCAAAGTATTCCCCTATAATATAAGCATCCATCATATCTTATCTCAAAATCTTTGTTCTCTTTTTTTTAATCAGCGACACTTTCATCAAACACTTTTTATCTCTCCCCTAAAACTATTTTACTCGATTCCAACAACATCGGTTTTAACTTTAATTCCACAAGAAAAGAACCATCTCTTTCCACATACATATGTACGTCTAATGCCCTTAAAGCTGCAATAGTTTTTTGATTAAGTGCATCTGCTACCACATTAGCTTTCCCCGGATGGTAGTCAATAATAAAATCATAATATTTCAAAAGCTCTATCCACATTAGCAGATATTTTAAAATTTTATGATCTGTGAAAACACAGCAACGCTCTCCGTACAAATAATAGCGCCAGAATTTTAAAGCAAAAACCAATGTAGCCAATTCTAAGTCATGCGTCGAGTACTTTCGCTCGTGATTCTTCAATTCTCTAGAAGCATAAGCCGAAGCCTTCCCTTATTACATCAACACACAACACAACCCATTATGGGATGCATCACTATACACAACATATTCTTTACCTGACTCAGGTTGCACAAGCACTAGAGCCTTAGTTACAATTCTCTTTAACATCTCAAAACTTTCTTGACACTTCTTTGTCCAAAAAAATGGCACACCTTTCGCAAAATCTTAGTTAGCGGCAGGGCTAACGATTAGAAATTCCTTACAAATTGTCTGTAATAACCGGTAAGTCCCAAGAAACTTTGAACCTCAGAAACATTCCTTGGGGACTGCCAATCCACTATAGATTGTATCTTTCTTGAATCTACTCGAATACCTTCTATGGAAATTATGTGACTAGGGAAAGCAACCTCGGCTAACCAAAATTCGCAGTTTGACAATTTGGCATACAACTTCTCGTGGAGAATCTGAAGAACAACTCGAAGATATACATTATGCTCTTCTCTTGACTTGGAATATACCAAAATATCATCTATAAACACTACAACAAACTGATCCAACTATGGCTGGAAAACTCAGTTCATCAAATCCATGAATTCTCGTGGTGCATTAGTCAAACCAAATGGCATCACTACAAGTTCATTACGCTCATATCGAGTACGAAAAATTGTCTTTGAAATCACTTAAATCTATCTTAGAAAACATCGATGCTCCTTTCAATTGGTCAAACAAATCATCAATCCTCGGAAGAGGATATTTTTTCTTTATGGTGACCTTATTTAACTGACGGTAGTCAATACATAATCGCATAGTCCCGTCTTTCTTTTTCACGAATAAAATAGGTTCTCCCCAGGGAGAAACACTAGGTCTTACAAATCTCTTATCAATTAATTCTTGCAGTTGGGCTTTCAATTCTCACAGTTCAGTCGGAGCCATTCTATATGGAGCCATTGACACCGGTTCAGTACCCGGATAAATCTCAATCGTAAATTCTACCTCACAATTTGGAGGTAGTCCCGGTAAATCCTTAGGAAATACATCGAGAAATTCTCTAACCATAGGAATATCATTTACTCTATAAAAACCTTTCTTACGACAATCGACCCATCCATAATGTGAGGACAACCAATCCATGCCTATGATAATTTCAAAATCATTGAAGGGAAATTCCCTTAAATTAGCCAAAAACACAATTCCCTGGATCTTTATAGGACATTTGTTACATACTCTTGATACTCTCGCACTGTGTCCCACAGGATTTATCACTAAAGTCTCATTCACTATTGGTTCTAAAGGAATTCCTCTAGCTCTAACCATTTTTGTACTAATATGTGAATGTATTGAACCAGGGTCAACTAAAACAAATACAGGTTCATCGTAAAGATAGAAAATACCTGTTATGATTTCAGGGTCATCTCGATCCTCAGTGGTCTTAAGGTTATAAATTATGGAAACTCCTTAAGTCTCTTGTCTTGACATTGAGTCCCTCGGCCTACCCATTCCTCTGTTTCTATTTGAGGTTGCCACTGATTGTTTTGACTGTGCCGAATTATCACCAGACTTCTTAGGGAAGTTCTGAGGAAAGTGACCCATATCACCACATAAAAAGCAAGCTCCAGTGACAAATCTACAAACTCCTCGGTACAATTTGCCACAAGTTTGAAATGGATTTCTTATTCCAGAAGCTCTACCCCAGCTAGCAGAACAAAGTTGGGATTGTCTACTCTTCTGTGATGTTGCTGCAAAGCTATCTCTCTCTGAGAATCTGAAACTCGAGCCTTTTCCTCTTTTAGCATAATGGGGAGTGGAAGGCATTCACACTCTCTTCCACACTTGAACACTCTGTTCTGCCACTAATGTTTCCTCATGAGCTATTTCAATAGCTTTGCCTTTGTTTATAACTTCTTGTAGACTCGACAAGTTCAAGTCCATCATCATTTCTTTCAACTTCGGTGTCAAACCCTCTATGAACCAATCATGCCTGGCCTTATAATTTGGCACAATTTCAGTGGCAAAATGGCTCAACTTGTTGTATTCAACCTCAAATTCATAAAGGTCTCGATCCTCTTGCTTTAAATTAAGGAACTTAATCAACATTACTTGTTTAAACTGTTCCCCCACATTTTTTTTTTTGAATTCTTCTTGGAAAAATTGCTAGGTGACTTTTTCCGGTGGTGCATACATAGTAGTGTTAGACCACCATATTCTAGCTGATCCTCTAAGCAAAGACACCACTCCTCCCAACTTTTCCTGATCTGAACATTGCAAGCTTTCAAGCATTAACATTACATCATTCAACCATATATCGGCTTCTATAGGACCTTCACCCTCATCCCCTCAGAACTCTGGAGCTCCCAAACTCTTCAGCTCTATGGGAATCAACATTCTAGTTACTAGAGGAGCAGGGGGAGGTTAAAGCTGAGTGAAAATGGCATCAAGGGCTTGCATGAAAGTTCCAAAGTCAGGAATCAGAATCCCTTGAGGTGCATGTGTACTTGCATTTTTCGAAGTAAGAGGTTGTGCACTATTATCCACATAACTTTCACTCCCCGTTCCCTCTTGCATTTCTTGTTTCCCTACTCTTCGTAATTCGAGGATTCTGACATCTAATAAAACATAAATAATGATATCATTATCATTAGTAACATTTGACACCATCTCAGTAATATTATCACCAGTAAGGAGTGTTATCAATCATCCTATAATGACACCATCTCAGTAACATTGACACCCTTATTGGCATATAATCCTTTTTCTATTTTAAAGTAGAACTAATTTTGGTTGAGAATCTCCTAAACCTATAGCTTTGATACCAATAAATGTAACACCCATATTCTATATACGGTTACGTATATGTATACCAGTATCACATTACTTTAAAAACAATTTACTAATTTTGTAGAGTCTTTAAAATTTTGTGATAAACTAAATTTTCCCATAAATAAACATAATAAATAAGTATTCATCAAAACACCTTACAAAATGTTAGGATAAACTTCATTACATGCCAACAAGTTTACAAAAGGATTACTACTGTCCTATTGTTACTGGTGAGTCAACCTTAGTAGATGATGACTGCTGCTACAGCTTCACTCCTTACTTGATGATTATCTGCTGTTACCTACGCGTGGAAAGATAAACGTTAAGTCATTACTTAGTGAGTCATGATATAATAAATAACCTTTAGTATTCATACATATTTTATTCCCCATTTATCCCAATCATTGGCAATGATTCTTTCTTTTCGTTTGTAGCCTCCATTTATGTTTATAATACATCATTATGCATTTTAATCTATAACATCTTTTCTATTGACAATGCACCCCTATGCATTTCAATTATATTATACTTTTATGTTGATAATATACCCATATACATTACAACAATAGTATAATTTTATGTTGATAATGTACCCATATACATATCAACACTAGTATACTTTCCTGTTGATAACGCACCCATATGCATTTCAACTCTAGCATACTTTTCTGTTGATAATTCACCCATATGCATTTCAACTCTGGCATCCTTTCATGCCAATAATACACTCATATGCATTTTAACTCTGGCATCCTTTCATGACAATAATACACCCATATGCATTATTCTTTTACATTCATTTTAGAGCAGTTCTTCCTCTAAAAACCTCATTCACAATATCAATTCCATATATTCAATAAAACATAATGATTTCGGTAAAATATACATTAACATACAAGTATTACATTATGAATAATTCTAATCATATTCATCTAAATTGCATATATTAATTGTAGTCACCTGGCTTTCTCGCTCAAAGTCCAAAAATAAATATGATTATTGCATAACTTGGCCCTTGCCTTTCGTCTTACTCGACTTAGGAGCTTGATTTCAATCTATCCCATATTCATTAATACATGAGTAATATCAATTGTTAGTTTATTTCCTAACAATTATGGCTTAAACATTAATCAAAATACTGATTATTAACTTTTCTATAACAATATCAACACAAATTACATTTTCTGGTCCTTTAGTATCGATACCCCTACTATGGTATCGATACTATCCTACTATGGTATCAATACCCCCTACCAATATCAATACCAAAATTATATCCGATGTGGCCCATTATCGATACCCTTTCCAAAGGTATCGATACCACTATACTATGGTACTGATACCCCTATATGATATCGATACAAAAATTAGGTTCGATGTTACCAGGTATCGATACTCTCACCATGATATCGATACCATTTCATTAGGTATCGATACTGATTGAATCAATATCGATACTTCTCAGATGATTTAGCCTAATTTTTGCCTATGGTATCGGTACTGTTCTATAGGTATCGATACCGCTGCCCAGATTTTCCTATTTTAAACCCGAAATTTACCCAACTTATGCCAATTTTCCTCTCATTTACCTCTAAAAATACTATATATCATCTCTCTACTTAACCCTACTAACCTTCTAGTATTTATACACTTAAAACATCTAATATTCCTCAAGAGCATGTGATTCTAAGAATCACACTACAATTTTTAACTTGTTATTTCACTCAACCAATGCTTCAAATATTTCATTTACCTTATTGACAAGTCAATTTTACCAAAAAACATTAGTAAACCCTCATATATTTTCAAATCATTACAAAACCCATTTTCGTAAATCTCTTTTATTTCCTTTATCTCCTTGTTTTAATCCCATCTAAACCTTCATTAAGCTTCCATCATATACAAGGATTCATTAACTAGAAAAAATTGAAGGAATAAACCATTAGATTGAAAACTTACCATTGAGCTTATGGAGAAGCTTGGTTACGGGAAATAGGAAGAAGAAGAAAAAAGAAAGGAGACTTTGTAACCTATCCCCGTTTTTCTCTTTCTTTAATACCCATCTAAAAAGACATTTTAATTTTTTTTCTTTTAAAAGACCAAAATACCCTCTTATACTCCATTATCACAATTTAGTCTAAATTATTAATCCTAATCCTTCCTATCTTTTATTATTTAAAAGAATCAATTTTTATATTTTTGATTTTTTTCAATATAGTCCTTAAATCGGTACTTGGGGCATTACAATCACTGGGAAAATGAAAAACACCCAATCAACCTTTTATATTTATTTTCTTGTTTTATTTACTATATGGTTGTCGTTTCAAGGTGGTTTGGTTACAGGTGACCACATGGTGACGAGTGGATGTTTCATCGCTGGTCGATTAACAATGTTATCATAGAGGAATACCTAGAGGTGATTTTCAGGATGACTCATGACCAATGATGGGTTCAATGTTGGTCGGGTTTATCAATTTTTGCTCGAGTTCCCATACCGGTGCACTGCTCTAGTTAACTAATATGATGGATTCAAGGGTTGGGTTATTCAAGAATTAAAATATTTTTGGGATCAATGAGTTCTTTAATACCCCAACTAATTTCAACACCCCATTTAAAATTGAATCTAATAAAATATCTTTAAAGGTGTTGTTCTCAAATTTCTAGATTATAATATTGATAATAATAAAAAATCACATCCAACCCTTATGAATATTCACATGAATTCAAGAATCACCTAAAACCAAGGAAGGCAAAATTATCCTTAAAGTCCCTCGACATCTTAATATTTCTGATGTACCTCACATTTTAATTAAACAACTATTTTAAATCTTTATATATAAAAACTAACCCCCTAGATTGGGGTGTGACAACTCTTCTCCCATTAAAAGAATTTCCTTATCGAAATTCACATGAGTCGAATAAATGCATAAACTAGGTCTTTGAATGTTCCTTCATAAGACAAAGGATAATTACTCTATTGATGATAACAAAAAATCTTGTTAGATGCAGAGCAAAAATAGGGTCTCGGTGCCTTAATCTGAGGAGTCTCACGATACGAAACTCGTGTATAGAAATGGCGTAGTTAGGGATCCATGACAAGAAACAAAAATAATAATAAATATACTTGTATAAGTCCCTGGTTTAACTCAGTCACCAAAACATCGTTTAGATATACAAGGATAGGCTGTCAAGCCTCAATAGCAGTTGGTCCTCTACTCTTCGATTGAGTTCTACTATCAACCCTATAAATAGATCTAGAAGTCCTACCATGACTGTAACTCCTATAGAGAGTCTAAACATAACCCTATGATCATGAAGGAGTCTGAGTGGGGGTCTAATCAACAGAAGTTGGATGCAAAAAATTTCTCAGAAAGTGCTCACTGGATTCAACACTATAACAGGTACACATCTTCTTACAACATTCTCCCGCATGTTGATTTCCACAATGCTCACAACTTGGTGTCAGTGTGAAACCTGAAGAATCACCTCGACTAAAAGATGGAGATGGAGGTGACGTAGGCCTCGAACCAGTATGACTCTTCTGATGAGTAGTAGTACGAGTCCTCTAATCTGGTCGTGCAGAAGGCTCAAACCGACAGAAAGACCTCCTAGAGCAATCTCGATCTACATTATCTATATCAAGAGCAGAAGCCTCAAATTATTCACTTTCCTTTTCTCTCTCCCTACCACAACATGGAACACCTCATCCAGGTAGTAACTACCTCTCGACGCAGCTCGTATCTCAGCCATTGAGCTAAGTTTCGGCACCTATCCCTCTCTGTAGGTACCAAATGGGAACCATACTTCTGTAACTTCAAAAACTCTATCTCATGTTCAAAAATAGTCATCTCTCCCTAAACCAAGTCCTAAAACTACTGTCTCCTCTGTGCGAGATAATGATCTTCCATAAAATGACACCTAAAATATTCCCTGAAGAAAAAACTCTATCTCATGTTCAAAAATAGTCATCTCTCCCTAAACCAAGTCCTAAAACT